ACATGCTTCACTGAAGAAGTATGTGCCACCCTGCCCAGACCTCTAACCCCCCCTTTGCCCCTCCACATAAAAGAGGCGGTCAACACAGTATACAGCTGAATTGTAACATTTAACATTTTCTTAGTTTTATTTTTCTTATCCAAAGTCACTGCTGAGGGGTGAAAGATCTGCATGCTGTTAGTGAGCCACAGACTGACGACGTTTGGGCCAGTTGATACATAATGATGTCCTACCTGGTGGCTGGTGTTAGAATTTTATTTAAAATTTTTTATCTTAAATGCTTATATAGCTCATTATTTTATATTTCACAGTTACCTCTTCATTTTTATCACACATTTATGTGTGATAAACCTGGGTGATGGTGGTGTACATACATGTTTATAAGTAAAACTTTTGGCATAAACAAATCAATGGACCAATGGGATTTTTCAGAAACAGGAACATAAAGCAAAGTGGAATTTCCCTACTTTTCTATTAGAAAGACAGTTTCCTCTTACAGTCCACAGAGCAGTATGATGACTATGAAGATCCTGCTGGGTGTCTTGTATCTCTCAGGTTAGTGAATTTTCTTTTTGTCGCAGTGCTTATTGCTATGAAATACTATTAAAAACAGCCATCTCATATGTCCAAAGAGGTTCATTATAATATTTTCCTCACAGGGTGGCTCGTCCTCTCCAAATGCCGTCAGTACCACTTTGTTAACAAGTCTTTTACTTGGTATGAGGCTCAAAGCTACTGCAGAAAGAACTATGTAGGCCTGGCCAGCATTGGAAACTCTACAGAAATGAACCAACTTATCAATACAGTTTCATCTGCTGGTTACAACTCTGAGGTTTGGATTGGTGTTTACTTTAATATATATGGGTATCATGCACCTGAGATCTATGATAATTTCTGGAATTGGGAAAAGAAAACTGAACCTTTCTTAGTTTACTATTTTTGTGGGAGGCTTTCAATGGATGGATGGCGGTGGTATAACAATTGTTCAGAGGAACATCCATTCATCTGTTACAATGGTGAGAAAATAAAGTATTCTCTTTACCCATAAAGATTGTTTGTATTTGATTTATTTTAATTCTAAGAAAACTCAAAATGACCTATTTGAATACAATCTCTAATTGCAGAAACCTACCCAAATCGCAAATTTATTGTTGTGAATGAAAGCATGGACTGGTTCAGAGCTCTGAGGTACTGCAGGAAGAACTTCACAGACCTAACCCCAGCTTGGTTTTCTACAAGTGATATGCAGACTCTGGCACCAAAGGATGATTCTGCATGGATAGGCTATATTGCACATCCTAACATTTACTGGAGTGATGGCAGCGACTCATCATTCAGATACTGGGATGATTATAAAAAAATATTTGGTATTTTTGGTTCATTGTATGGTGCTGCAGATTTGAAGACATCAGGAAAATGGAGGCTACTGCCCAGTGACACAAAACTACCATTCGTCTGCTATGACAACCTGCCAGCTCCTCTACCTACAACCACAAAAGCTCCCAGAAAATCAAATGTTCACAAAAAAGGTACCTAGTTACAGTTTTGAGATTTGAGAAAAATAATAAAGCTGGAAACTAATCATGATTGCGTTTGTTCTCTGTGTCTCAGTAATAAAAATAAACCTGAAGCAGGAAGACTCCTCTGTGGATCTGAATGACGGAGCGGTCAAAGCAAACCTCCTGAAAAAGGCAAGTCTCCACAATCCAACTTTAAAATATCACCTCATGGTGTGCTTTATATTTTGGTTTAGGCACTGTGAGGCTTACAGGCGCATAATTCAACAATTTGCATACTGTGATCACTTTGAAGTACCCAGTCCTTCAATCCATCTTTACACAGTTTCAGCATTATTTAAGTATAATGATATTTTAAGATACTTTATATTTTTTTTCTTATCAATCTTAAAATGTTTCATTGACTGATCAGGCTGCATTGATTGACTTCAGATTGCAAAGAGAGGTCTGACTGTATAAAGCTCTGTGGGAAAATGCCATTTCTTACCTGGTCCATGACTTTAGTAAATACTTTCCTTAGATTATGCTCTCAGGTCAAGTCTGATTTCATAAGGATGATATTCAGTTTGATTCAGGATGAGTAAAAGACATGATGTGTTTTAGGATATTGTTACTTTTGGTTACTGATGGTCTTCACACTGGGTTGACCCTTGCTCATATGAGTGGGCTTCTGTGTGAGAGTTAAACAAATATGTAAATATGAAAAGATATGACATTTTCAATGCTGAGGAATGTTTATGAAAATCTGACATTTACAAATGAATAGTTTTTCTGAATGACAAAGGTATTGTTGGTACTTTGATGTGAAAGGTTTGTGAGCAATAAATGATAAATGATAAAAAAAAATGCTGAGAAATAAATCAGTGTAGGAGAACAAACTACTGACAGTAATTGCTTGTTTGGTAATTTGCAAATCCTTCAATGTCGAACATAACCTAACTTTTGCTGTCAGAAGCAGCATTTTTGTGAGGTAAAAATATCTTTTTGTTATTTTTTTTGTCACTGGAGGTCTGTTACAAAATATGTATGGTTTGTGTTTCAGCTGCAGGACAAACTGAATGAGAAAGGACTGAATGGAGTCACTCTGGAGTGGAGAAAGCTGCCTGATGGAGCAGTCTTCCATAAAGAGGAGACAAATACTAAGAAGGAAGAAAAGAAGAAAACTGAGCTGTGAAATTTAAAAACAACTTTACTGCCACTTACAGCTTAACAAATTTATCAGAGCCCCATCCAGTGTAAGGTTGCTGATTCTCATTCCCACTGCTTCACAACTGGCTGTGAACCACTCAAGTGTGAGCTGGAGGCCATCACGTAATAAAGCCAAAAGGAACCACATCATCTGCAAAGAGCAGAAATGAGATTCTGAGACTGCCCAAGTGGAAACCTTCCGCCTAGAAATTCTATCTGTAAAAAAATCATGAACACAGTCTGTCACAAAGGGCAGCCCTGGCCGACACAAGAAAAGAACATATGAAACAGGAAGAAACTGCAGTGTAATCCATTTATTTCAACAAAGTAACTGTATTCTGAATATCACCTTTTTAAACGGTAACACAAGTTACAGTTACTCATATTTTGCATTTAAATACGTAATGCCAGTACATGTATTCTGTTACTCCCAACACTGATCTTATGCTAAAGGAGGTAGTCAAGGAAGCACTGAAGCTCCCTCCCTTAGCATTGGGGAATTTGGAAAACACTGTAGTGTGATGTTTTTTGTATAAAGCTTCTGTACCCACTACGGTTTCACTCTCCTTCAATATTTTGTTTATGTAAATGATGCTGCTAACAATTCCTACCTTGGTTTGAATTTTTTGTTTTTATTTGGGCTTTGCTGGGATAAAATTTACATAACAAGTTTAGATTCTGATAAAAGCTACTTTTAGCCACTCCCTTATTGATACTTTGCTCTATAAATGTTTAGAAGCTATATTATTTTATACATTTGTCTTGTTACAACTTACACAAATGCTGATTTATGAATGTCATAAAACAAGCTTATATTTTTTTATTTCCTTTAAGTGTGTGTGTGTGTGTGTGTTTTACCTGTTTAATAAATTGCAAATCCTCCAAGGTCAATGGCATGGCTGCTCCTGATCTTTGCTGTCAGATGCAGATTTGTGTGAGGTAAAATGCAGATTGCAGTCAATTGAGTTCTGTTTTGTGTTTTCCACCAATTCAAACATATAATCCTAGCCATGGTGGCTGCGAGAGGACAAATGTGTTTTAGCCAGTCAAGAGAGATAAGAAACTAAGATAAAAATTTAGCCTGTAACTCATAGTGCTCACTGCAAGCCACGTGTTTCTACTACTGTTTGGATTGGATCCAGATCCACCTCAGAAATTTTCTCTCTGTGGAAAATTGTCAGTCTGTGGACCTCAGCTGTCAATGCCGAGTGAGAAGCATCCACCTTTAGTTCCTCTGGAAGAAGCTGGGACACTTTGAAATTTGTCCAGTACGGGTCAAGAGTCAGAGCAGCTGACTTCAAGCCAATGACAGCTACACCAGCTTCCATACAGCCATGAAGCAGTTTAGATTTAAGATACTTATGCTTAAAACGTTCCTTTTTGACAAAGCACATAGTTAGGGTTGGGTCAGATGACTCTGAATTCTCATTTCTAGAACTTTTGTTTAAATAATATTGTGGGGTTACCTTTGAGCATCTGAAAAAATATTTTAAAGTGATTGATATAATGTATGATTTATCTGAGGTACTGGTGTAAGAAAAGAGAGAATCACTGACAATCAGTGGAATATGAGCTTCTAAAACTGTTTTTATAATATCAGTCAGTAGTGGCATAAGTTGATAATCACGGATGACCTAGATTTCTCCTCTTCTGAACTAGAAAAAAAAACCTCATGCATTTGTATCATCACACCTAGATTATTGTAACTGTAATTACCTTTTTTTAAACCATACAAGTGATTACCTCTATTTTATTTTCTTAACACTGACTCCAAGGTGATTTTAGATTTCCTTTTAAAATTCTCAAAATTGCATTCAAGTCTCTGAATGGACAAGTTCTAGATTACATCCCTTAACTCTTTTTTTTAAACATGCTGCTTCTTGCTATTTTCACTCACAAGCTCAAAATCTATTAGTTGTCCTTTATGTAAGACTGAAGACAAAAGGGGACATATCCTTTCAGCCTGGGGCACTAAGGCTCTGGAACAGTAATAAAATCAAGCAGATTAGCTCTGCAGCAGTATTATTACAACAGGTACTGAAATGCATTCAATTATTTTACATTTAAAGACAAATTACTGTACTGTTGGAAATAAACACAGAAAAACATCAAGCCCTCTACTTGAAAATCTTTTATTTACTTTAAGCTTCATATATGAACTTTGAACATTTTTCAACAAACTAAGTTGACTAAATATTTGGTTAAGTAAATATTTCAATAAAGGAATTCCTGTAACACATTTTGCATAGACAAACAGAAAAATTGCATTTCGTAGAAAGAGGATGATAACAATGTACCTACATTTTGGTTACATAGCCAGACTTTCCTCTTCCAGTCCACAGAGCAGCATGATGATTGTGAAGATCCTGCTGGGTGTCTTGTATCTCTCAGGTCAGTTATTTATTTTGTCTCCCTTTGCTAGTCCTTATTGCTCTGATATGTTGTAATACAGCCAGCTTACATGTTGAGAGATGTTCATGATTCATATTTTCCTCACAGGGTGGCTCGTCCTCTCCAAATGCCGTCGGTACCACTTTGTTAATAAGTCTTTTACTTGGTATGAGGCTCAGAGCTACTGCAGAAAGAACTACGTAGGCCTGGCCTGCATTGAAAACAGTGAAGAAATGAACCAACTTATCAATACAGCTTCATCTGCTGGTTACAACTCTGAGGTCTGGATTGGTGTTTACATTCATTTACAACGGCGTTCTGCATCTCAGAATGATGATGATTCCTGGAACTGGAAAAAACAAATTCAAAGTGAACCTTTCTTAGTTTCCTATTTTTGTCAAAGCATTTCAGTGAGTGGACAGTGGTATTCCAACTGCTCAGTGGAACATCCATTCATCTGTTACAATGGTGAGAAAATAGCAAAGCACTGTCTTTTCCAATAAAGACTGTTTTGATTCATTTTCATTTACCCAGAAAACTCAACATGACCTGTTCCTCTACCATTTCTAATTGCAGGAACTTCGCAGAGTCCTCAATATGTTCTTGTTAATGAAAGCATGGACTGGTTCCGAGCTCTGAGGTACTGCAGGGAGAACTTCACAGACATACCCAGTTATTCGATATCTAACAGTCAGTTGCAAATACTGCTGCCAAATGGGGATCGAGCGTGGATAGGCGTCATTTCACATCCTGAAATTCGCCAGAGAGATTGTGGCAACTCCTCATTCAGATACTGGGATGACTCTGGAATCATTCCCAGCATTTTTCGCTCATTGTTTGGTGTTGCAGATTTGCAGAGGTCAGGAAAATGGAGGTTCACTGAGTATTTCACAAAAATCCCATTTGTCTGCTTTGACAACCTGCCAGCTCCTGGAAAGGAAAATGTTCAGAAAAAAGGTACGTACGTGTTAAGAAAATTTTGCTTTAGTTTTAGTGATAATTTAGTTATTTTTTGTCATAATTTAAGCATCAATATTATTTTGGTAGTCTAGATTTAACTGAGTAAATATCATAAGATTACAGTAGACTAAATCAAAAGTTGTTTTAGTTCTCTAACATATAAAGTGTTAAAGCTTGCTGTGTTTTTACTGTTGAGAGTTGCTTCACAGGGTTTACAAAGAATCTCATTTTTTACATGAGATGCAAAATGTGTCCATATGTCTGCTCTTCTCTTCCTCCAAACATTAGCATTTTATCATATCTTTTTGAGAAACTGTGAGAAGGGGAGTTAGTGGTACTGCTTACAGTGGGCAATCAGACTTACTCCTCAATGTCATGGTCCCGGGACTTCTACCCGGTATTTTGTGTTTCATTTGATGTTATTATGTTTTAGGTCCACCGTTTATTCTAAGGGTCCCTAGGTTGTTCTGTTAAGGTTATTCGATTTCCCCACGTATCTGTGAGTCCCCGTGCCTCGTTTCTCCTCCTTGTGTTTTATTCCACGTTTTCCCCAGCCCGTTATGTCTGTGCTCTCCCCGCGTTCTCTCCTCCCCTCCTGTCGGCGCCTCTGTGTACTTCCTGTTTAACTTTGACAGTCTCCCGTCAGTATGAGTCATGTTGTGTTTGCTCCTGGCCTGTCTCGTTATGATTATCTGTGTCAGCTGTGTCCCCTGTGTGTTCCCATGTCCCTCGTTATACTTCTGTGTATTTATGTCCACGTCTCCCTCCATTCCGTGTCGCATCCTCCCTCATGACTGTGAGCCCCGCCGTGTGTTTCCTCATGAGTCAGTTCCTTTAGAATCTCCCAGTTTAGTTTTATATTATTTTGTCTCGCCTTAGTCTTCTGTTAGCAATGAAGCTGTATTTAGAGTTCAGTCCTGTTTCCTGTGAGTTTGCATTTGGGTCCAATTCCTGCCTGCACACGGCCTGATCGTGACACTCGAAACTTATTGCAGATTATTTCTGATTGGATCACTTCCAAACTTTATGTGTCATTATAATTTTGTCCTTGTGCATTAGTTTTTTGTTTTGTTGTTTTTGTTTTTTTTGGTAATGTTTTCTTTTTGTCAGAAAAAAATGTTATTGATTAAAAACCGATGAAAATTATTGGTCAACAAAAATTTTGAGACCCAAAAATAATAAAACTGAAAACTCGTCATGATTTCTTTTGTCTTCTCTTTCTCAGTAATAAAAATGAGCTTGAATCTGGAGGACTTGTCTGTGGATCTGAATGACAGAGCTGTCAAAGCAAACCTCCTAACAAAGGCAAGTCTCTGCAAGTTCTATAAGTGACAAAAATATTGTTAGGACTTCGCTGTAATATTGCAATATGATTTTGTGCCTTATCTAAATGCTGAGATATAAAATAATGTCAGAAATCAAGCTGATAATTTTGATAAATCCTTCAGTCTTCAGGACCTTTGCTGTCAGAAGCAGCCTTTGTGTGAGGTAAAAGCCTTTTTTGTGTGTTTTTAGTCACCTGGAGGCTTTAAAATGTTTACTGTTTGTGTTTCAGCTGCAGGACAAACTGGAGGAAAAAGGAGTGAATGGAGTCAATCTGAAGTGGAGAAAGCTGCCTGATGGAGCAGTCTTCCATAAAGAGGAGAAAAATACTAAGAAGGAAGAAAAGAAGAAAACTGAGCTGTGAAATTTAAAAACAACTTTACTGCCACTTACAGCTTAACAAATTTATCAGAGCCCCATCCAGTGTAAGGTTGCTGATTCTCATTCCCACTGCTTCTCGACAGGGCCATTTACAAAGAGCTACGTCAGAAAACATTCTGTAAAGAAAAACATTTACTGATGTTACTGAACGACGAGGACCCAGTGTTGAGAAAACTGACGGTCGATATCATTAAAAATCACCTGATCATACAGTGACCCAGTTCTTCTTTCTTCCCCCCTTTCTCACCGTCTCTTCTCCCCTTTGGTTTTCTTTCTCTCCCTCTCTTTCTTTCATTCTTTCTCCCTGTCCTATCCCCCAGTCATGTCTGTCCCGTTTGTAGCAACCGAAAATAAAATAAATTCATAATTATAATAAAGGTCAATCAAATGGACCAATATGGCAAGGCCATGATGATCCACTTGGTAAAATAAATCCGCTTGGCATCTTTCTTGGCCTTAAGACAACAATTCTGATGGCTAAAGATCCAAAACGGGACAAAAAAAAAAAATCACCTGATCGACACTATGCAGAATCCAGCCCTGTGTGAAGCTGAAGAGGCTGAAAATTACAGGTTATCTGTGGAAACCTCTATCAAGAAGGTGGTGACGCGTGTCATTAACAATGCCAGTTCACCTTGCTGTACTGAAAAAGTTGATGCCATCACCCAACGGCTGTTCATAAAACTCTGGCCTAGACTTAAAAAAATCAAAATCGACAATGTGATATTCCTCAGTGATATGGTTTACAGCTCTTTAATAGCGAAATGGAAAGAGCCAGATGTCATACTGACATTCATGGAATTAGGCCACAAACATACAGATGATGTAATTGTAAAGGTTTTCAAGGAGCATGCCATCACTGTATTGGAAAGTGAACATTTCATCACAAGCTTCTTTCTCTCTGTGGGTCATGCTGTATGGATCGCAGGCAGAAAATACTTGGTTAGTGTTGTGTAAGTCCCTAAAAGTAGATTCTCTTCATCTGGACGTAGCATTTTCAGTTTCAATTTATTTAACATCTAATCGATACATTTTAAGGGTTTTAGAGTGCTTTGTAATGATGTGCATCCTGTGACGTGACAGTATTTAGTCGCTTTGAAGCATGCCTATAGCATAGCCCATCAGTGGTGTCAGTTTATGTGGGTATATATAATATTTTTATATTGTTAAAAAAGTACATCAATGTAAAAAATTTAAAATGATAAATGTGTAAACTAAAGTCAAAAGCTGTACGGTTTATGATGTCAATGTGGCGCCCCGCTCCTTTTAATATTATCAGTTATAGCCAAAACAACGAATAGGAGCAGTACTATATGGTACTATTTGAGGTGCTAGTACTAGGGCTGGGCGATATGACCCAAAATTCATATCTCGATATTTTTTAGCTGGATGGCGATATAAGATATATATCTCGATATTTTTTAAAGCCATAAAGTAAGAACAAAAAGAGAGTTCTTAGTCAAAGCTGTGTCCCAGATGTCACACAGGCACTTTTATTAACATACAGCATAGATGTACATGAAAAAAACTACTCAAAAATAAATTATGAGCATTTATTAAATAATAATGCTCCATAAATAAAAGAAAACGATGTTGTTTTTGTGCATAACAAAGAGCTCACAATTGTGCAGTCAAAATGTAAACTAAAAGACGCTGAGCATAATAACAAAGACAGATTTCACAGCTGCTCTCTTTCCAAGTTCGTGACTGACAGCCTGGAGTTTGAAATCCGCTTCATAACCGTGTCTCTTAACAGGTGCCATTTATGGTCCTTATACACACACAATACGGTAATATTACGTTGAAGCACAGTACGTATCACTCTACGAGGCTCCTCGGTCGGTAGCCGTAATGCTCCGACAATCCATCAAGCCGGTGCAGCTCCATAGCTTACCAAAGTCGTACTAAAACATTTTTTGACATATTGCTGAGCGCTGTGTACCACATAAAATTGGTTCGCGGTCATCAAGCACAACCAGAATTCATACATAAGGCGCACTGTCGATTTTTGAGAAAATGAAAGGATTTCAGGCCGTGCATGGCGTTAGCGTGGTTAGCTCGTTAACACGTTGACGCCGTCCAGCCCCACGCACGGGGCGATGCGCAGTAACTCGTTAACGGAGATTTGCCGTGTCCATCTTGTCGCTGCCTGCAGGTGAAGCGATGGGGGAGGAGGGGGAGTTGTGTTCAGTGAAGGAGAGGCGAGGCCGAGTAACGTTGCGTAAAGACAAAAGTGGACGAAAGAGGCAAACTTGTGGCTCCACAACTATAATTATAACGTAACATAGACTATATCGATATAAACGATATTGTCACATCTTATATCTCGTATAAAAATATATCGATATTTTTAAAAAACTCGATATATCGCCCAGCCCTAGCTAGTACCCTTTTTCCCCCCAGAAGACAGTGCAACAGATCTTTGGCTGATCAGTTTTTGAGACAGCGCCAGATACCAATAAAATGCCAATACCCATCTTTGAAAGATACGTTCAACTTTCTAATATTTATTCTTTTCTCAGAGCCTGGTCAAATATTGACTTTATGTTTGATGTCAATCATTTAATATGCTGTATTTAAAGCCAAGGACTAAAGA